GAAAGTAAGTCCTCTGTTAGTTCTAGGAAAACTATACTTTTATACATATGTAATTTTAAAAGTTTAGTAGCATAATCTTAATCAACGCGTTGGTAAATTCATGTCAAGCGTACTGCCACTTTTATTATTATTATTATTCATTCTATATCCAATACACCAGAACATGTTTACATCTGTTATAAATTGTTTTGACCTCTTTTCTCTCTCTCTCTCTCATTATAAATATGAACTGGAGGTAAAGTTGCACTGGCTGGTGGGAGTGAATTTGTTTCACTTTTCTTTTTAAGATATTATCTTGATGTAATGAACATTGTTTTTGGTTTCCAATTCATTTTTATGTTTCTTTTGATGTGTAGATGAGGTCAAATTCGTGTTGATTCACCAATGCGATATATGTATATATGAGTCATACAGAGTTAGTTATGTGTAGTTGATATTCTTAAAATCTTCATGAAAAAAATTCATACTGACCGTGACACAGATATTACTAATGTCATTATAAGTAGCTTAAATGGAGTACAATTTCTAATATTACTTTAATAATTTCAATGAATAAAAATCTACTGAACAAATAGACTTCAGTTAGTACCTATTAACGTAGGCGGTATGTCACCTCGAGCTGTGTAAACTACGAATAAATCTGTAATTTGAGAAGTTGTTCTAACGCAGAACATTACTGATGAATGTCAAAGATTCCAGTCTTTTAGGGAATTTCTATAAATGTTATGAATATATGCCTTCTTGACGAGTGTTACTGCATACGAAACTGAGGTCATTTACAACCATTTACCTAGTTACTCTTCAGTTGTTTCATCCTACAAGTATCTGCAATCTGAGGCAAAAGAAACTAACCACTGAGGTCACCGTGTGTTTGGTGATACAGTAGATTAAGGTGAAACAGCTATCCAATTCTCCCTGGTATTCAGTGGTTCCCTAACTGAAATCAGTCCATAGTCAGACTTGAAACCCATGGAATCCCTACAAACTAACACTTGAAAATATATTAGATAATATCTGCGATCTCGTGTGGAATGTGTAGCCTTGATTTAGGTTTAAACGGTTCAATTATCATATATTATGCATAAATTATGATTTTTCTACTATGAGACATAGATGAATACCTGAATTACAAGTAACCTTTTGTTGTCATTGAGTTTTGTACAATATAGAATTTCCTGCAGTCACAAATGAGTAAGTAGTCGATTTGTGAGATTTTAAATGCTAACAAAAAGAGATAAAAAGTTTGAACTGAAGCATCCCTGAACTATTCCTGTAGTTCGGTGCCTTCCTAGAAAAAAATGACTACGGTTTATTATCAGAAGAACTGAATTCCAAAATCAACCTGATATACGTTGAACAAAATGAAGGTGAGTGTAATTATTCACTAGGTAATAAACAGTGTTTCTTGGACTCAATTTCCAACAGGGTCAGTGTGCATTACGACAATGAATCCTGGATTTCATTGCCAGCCACTATCAAATATATAAGCCTCTTTGGTGAATAAGGCTTGTTACGATAGTGGTGTTAACCTGAAAAGAAAATTTAAGTTGCTTGTCGATAAACTTTGATTCTTCGTTAAATCGATCAGTCAGTGAGAATTTGAAATTTAGCAGGATGTATCACTTTCATTCACACTATTGCTGAAAGAATATTTTAGTCAAATGAAGCACTGTAGGATCTACTGTATAGACTAGGCAAACTCAATCAGAAGATAAGCAGAAAGGAGAATTAGGTGTGTCCACTGTGATCAAACAATAATAAATGCGAGATAATGAAAACACCTAAAACAGGCTTCACTTCCTTAAGTTTTCTCGTGTTGAAATTTTATCTTGTTTGTATAAGACAAGACGAAATTCCACCGAAATCACTACTGATTTGATCTGATAACAAATAGAGACTTTGTGTTGCTTAGTTTCTTTCGAAACAAAGAGTAATCCAGCCTATTTTTACTCAGTTTTTTGTTTCAAAATGGACCGTGTCATTAGAACATAAACGATAAATGTTCACACTGCCTAATGCAGAGAAATAATTAATCCCTGTACTTTATGTTAAGCATCCAAACCATCTGTGTTCTTCTGCATGAAATATTGGTTAATAACTTTTTAACTGTCATTTTCTACGTCATTTGAACTTGCGGTGTTTGAATCACTGAAAATCATACATTGATTATGATGGTATCATGAGAACAGTCATAACTCTGGTTTAAACCGTGGACATTAGTCGTATTAGTACTATGTAAATAAATAAGTCAGCTTATGATAGTTAGAAGTTATGTATCACCTGCATATGTTGCAGATCTGAGCTAAAACTTTCTAGTTAATATTAGTTAAAAGTGAGTATGAAAGTTGCCTATGTTATTGATATTCATTTTTCTCGAAACATCAAACATCTTCTAAATTTCCCACCTCCTTGTTTTCTTAACTTTTCCATAATTATAATCAACATAATCAACAAACAAACTCTCTTTATGAACACAATCCACTGAAATAATACTTCAACTGATACTGGATGCCAAATAGAATTTCTAATTTATTTTTACAACTGTTATCTTACGTGAATAATATAATGAAAGTAAACTTCTAAATTAATAAGGTGTATACTTCTGCTGAAATTTGTTTTCCATTTCGCTTATTCATCAACAAATCATTGTTAATCTCTAACATAAAACTGTTTGGACCAACTGACCTGAATTGTTGTCACTAGGTTAACTCTCTTATCGTTATGAGGCTGCTTTCGTTGTTGTTGTTTTTTACTCCCACTACTGCTGGTGTTATTAGCATTGGTGGTGGTGATTACGTTGATGATGATGAAGAAGCTTAGTAGTTCTAAAATCTTTTCACTGACATAAACATAAACACGTAGATTTATGCAAACGAACGCACCTGGTTTGTGTATGCGTGTGTGTGTTAGATATATGCATGCGTGTATCACAGTCTGTAGCATACAGTAAGTAACAGGTTGATTAATTAAGAAACCACCATACGCTGTTGAATGAAACAGTGTAGTAATTACTTCGGTTTCTTATTATTAATAATAAACTAAAGTGTAGGCAATAATAATGATAACAAGAAAAATAGGTAGGCGTTTATTATCATTTAGTTTTCTGTTACTTGCGAACAGTATCAATGCTGATATTCACTGATGAAGTATGTTCAATCATGTAAACAGTTGGTTTATGTTTAACCTTAGAAATTTATGAAAACACTAAATGAATATACTTGGCTGGTATTATCTTAGTGGCATGCAGAAAACAGATGAGAATGATACTAACTCATTATTTAAGCTCTCACTGTCTGTTTGGAACAAAGCTTATCTAACCCAACTGATTTTCTGTTGGGACGACTCTCATGCATTATTGATTTTAAAAAAATGCAGGTTTGTGAGACAGTGATTATCGCAGTCCTAACTGATTGCTTTGTACAAAACCAGACTTTCAGCGTACCACTGAAAGGCAACAGTAGTGATACATACATATATTAGGAATCATATAGAAGTCCACTAGTATGCAGTACCCACTTTATCTTTCAAAATCATACCACAGCACTTCAAAGGTCAATAAATAATTGAGTTTACCTAACCTACAGAGAGAAAACGCGGTCAGAATGTTTCTCAGCTGCAGGATTTATAAGGCCTAATCAATTTTGTCGCTAGAAAATCAGTACGAAACAGGAGGTCTGGTACAGCTATTCCCACTGGCCTTGAAGCCTTTTGCTAGTGCATGTGCGCTAACTTATGCTAATTCAGACACACGACTAGCAGCTTTTACGTTACGCATATTAGTATTCTATTAGTGGATCAGTAAATTTATTGTAAACACTGGAGTAATATATTATTCATAAATAACTACCTTCAAAACAAATTTCCGGAACTCCCACATCAGTTATTTAATTCAAGAATTAAACCTTTTACTTATTCACCAACAGGTTTTGTGGTGATAACTGTCAGTCGAAAAACGGTTGATTTTGGAAGTAATAACTACTCAATTTTCAACTAAATGTTAACATGCTAATCACAAGACCTTCGGTTTTGGTTTAGATCCTACATCTGAGGGTCCATGGATACTTCTAGCTAGTACCTGGCTAAAATAAAAAGGTCTTTAATGCTTCTGTATGCAGTTTCTCAGTTTATGACTGAAAGTACTTTAAAATAAAAAGTGTAACCAAAGGTTTGCAAAGTAGTGATGGTTCTGTGATCTGACTACGTACACCTTATAACTTATTCAACCGAAATGTGTGTTTGCGACTAAGTGAAGCGATATTCCTTGAGCTTTGAAATCAGTAGTAACATTCATGTAATTCAGTACTAAACTTAGGAAAACATTTAATCTGCATGTTTATATAATGCAGACAGCTGAGGCCAAAGCTCACTCCAAAGTGTGTTTAGATCAGCATCCGTCTTATGGATTCCAGACAAGGAAAATATTTGGTTGACGAGCCCACTTTCTAAGTCATCACATTGTTACACAATAACTCCTGTAGTCTGAATAACTAAGTAAGCAAGCAGTTCTTATGATGTGAACATAAGTATTCCGCAAAGAACCAGCGTGAAAACCGAAACAAGCTGTAATAAACTCAAATTCCCTGCTTTCTTTTACACGTATAACCAGAACATATGTTGTAATTACCTGAAATAATCCAATTGAAAAGATTCAGACATTGTCAATGAGCATAAAATTTTAATCTGACATTCTTCATGTTCAAAAGGTAAAATAATCAGGTATTCTGAGTATTTTTTTCCATGAAACTGCCAAGCTAATTAGTCTAACGAAACTCTAACCTCGAAAGGCAACAGAACTTCTCAGCTTTGAATATTCCCTACAGTCTGAGTCAAAAATACTTTCAAAAGCAATCGATGAAATATACAATAATGAGCTTTGATAACAAAACTGGTTAAAATTATGTAGTCGGCACGTTGTGACTCTGATTTAAGATAACGATCTATAAACACACTTCATAAGTCCACCGTCATGTTTATACATTCTTTTACTTTTATCCTTATAGAATTATTTTCTGTAAATATTTATGGAGCAACTACTTACTCCAGTTCAAGTGCTTTGGGCAGTTCATCTGAATACTCAGTAGACGAAGACTTCATGTATAAACACCCAACATGTTTCCAGACGGATCCTCAACAACCTGACTTAAATGGTTATCATTGGCTAATAATTGATTTCGGTATTGTGATGCACCATGTGAAAGAAATACGACTAGCTCCAAATCCCAGCCACAAGGACTATGGTAAGTAAATACCTACATACTGTTTTCGAAAAACGATCAATATTCGATAGCAAAAAATTCACTTAATATATCTCTGTTTTACGTCATAAAGTTCGTCCGCGAACTGACTTCTGTGTCTCACTAACTACCATACTCTCAGTAATTATCAAAGTACCATATTTACGTATACAAATAACTCTGTGCAGATAATTAAGTGATTTTCTATTAAGTATGAAAATTAGTGGTCTCCTTTGGATATAATTAAACGCTACAAAGTGATTGATGAAAATCAGTAGGCCATAAGATAAAAGAAGCTCATTCACGAAGTGTACTTGTGCTGACAAATGGAGTGATATTGTACTAAAAATTCGAGTCTGTACTGTTTTACACACATTATTGGCAGGAGGCCTATCAATATACTTCGATGAATACTGACGGTAATGGACTGACATTTTATCATTATTACTCAAAATTATCAAGATAACTAGTGACGCCTGTTTCCCCGTGCTTTATAACAGAGTTTGAAATTCATTTTCGTGGAAAATGGACATGATTTTCAGATATTACGGTGTATCACTTCTGTTAACATATGCCTGCACATATATTTAAAGATAAAAATCTACTACTATTATTAGTCTCGTTATTTTTCTGATCTCAGTGAAGGCAGAAATTTTGGACTGACTGTCCAATGTTGGGAGCATTCGAATTGCAGCAACTATGTTTTCAACTGCAGACCGCCCCCCCCCCCAGAATATACAGACATTTTTCGATCTGCCCACTATCAGATGGTATACAAACTAGACCCCTGCTGGCACAGAAAAGTTTAGTATTCCACGTGATTCGAGAAATAGACTGAATTTTTGTAAGCTATTTAGTATAAAAATGTTTCTTTGAAATTCATTCTTCATAGACACACATCAATTCCACATTGGAAATGCAAATTTCCACTAGTTTACAACTAAATACTAACATGTTGTTACCTTCGCTAGCTTATGGTTTTAAATCCACTAAGGGTTCCAAGATGCTGAACATAGTAAATTATTTTCCTCAACATCAAATTTAAATACTCTAATATCCGTCTCTATTGAAGGACATATAATAGGGTTTTAATAATAAAAGACAAGAGGGGAAGTTTCCGGTACCTCATCCTGAGCAGCTATAAAATAACTCGTAAAGAATAAAATAATCGTTACATTTGATCATCAACAAAATCATCAATTCTATTGACGAAACAGGTACCTTGGAGTGTCTTAAAAAATTTATCGGTTGAAAACATGCAATTCATTCAATGATGTACAACCTAAATTTTACCAGATCAAACAACTGAATAGTATCATCATATTCAGAAATTAATACAAACAACTTTGTCCATGTATAGTGTTAGGTTTTGAGTAGATGCAGCCTGATTGTCTGTTTTTTCAACATTCTGTGTATAATACAATAAGTTTTCTAAGGTGACTAATTGTTCACATATGGAATTTACCAAGCCATATGTTGTTTTGGGTAAGAATTTGCATATTTTGTTACTAATCTTCACACCACTTAAACGATAAAGTACTATGTACCCTGGGCTGATTATAGTGTGTGAGAATCGGTCGATGTAATGAAAGAAGACTTACAGTTAAACTTTTATTCTCGTGAATTTGGTTTTTAGGTCACATTTCAGTCAACAGAGCAATTTTCCTCTAAGTCAGTGGTTTGAAACATATAACAATCGAGATTACTTCTTAAAGCTTCAATTAATTTTCTATTATACATTCATCAGTGTATGGGATAAATGTTATACTTCTTTGTATACCACTGACACAGAATCATCTTGTATAGACTGGACAAATAGTGCATTCCGTCTACACAAATTCAACATTAGCAGTTAATATTTTTGACTGGACACCAGTCAGTAACTAGTGTAATGTGTCTAGTCCTATCGTCTGTGCAGACACTAGGTATTGACTAGTATCCAATCAAAAGCATCCAGTACAGGAGGTCAATCGCCAGCCCGAATAGCTCAGTGGCAACTTCTCTGACTGCAGCACTAGGTGACACAGGTTCAAATCTCAGAATGGACACGAGTTCCTTTAAGATTGCAGATACGCCTTGCTGATAAGTGCCAACTAGCAGGAAACCTAGGTCCAAGGCTTCCTGCCGATTGCCTCCAACTGTCTAATATTAACAGTTAATAATAAAAGCCCTCACAATCGACAAACACATCGATTAAAATTTAAAAGGTTACAAAGCATATCGTTCAGTCTTCAAATAGAAGGACAACGGCAGATTGAAAAGAGTTAAACTGATCATAGCCAAACGTTCAGAATATGCTTCTGTGCTTTTAATAAATATCATTTGGAATAAGGTTAAAGAAACTGACTTGCCTAGATACTACTACTACTGACTGTGATGATTTCAGTGCAAGGACTAACGAAGTGGCAATACGGTTTAAGTTACTCTTGAGAAGAATTCATCCAGCTGCCTCCACTACATAACTACCCAACAGTATTCATTGAAAAATTTATTAGTAACCAAAAGAGAAATATAGGCAGTAGAGTAAATAATAAGCATAATGTGAATGATTGGAAAACGAAGGCCTCAATAGTACTATCATACGAGGAATAAAAACCGTCTGAAACCTTACGTAGGATTTGTCATAATCCTTCAATTACGGTGGCATTTAAACCAACCAACTAGCTGAGAGACCAAATTAAACTAAGCAAATTACTAATACCAAGTAATTACTGTATTGTAACTATTTGTTAGTCATTCCTTGTGTTTCGAATAGAACATAGGAATTCAGAGGTACATCTTCCTTGCACTGGTTTCTGCACCATCACATTCAACTCGTTCCACGACTGCCCACAAGCTTTTTTCCCTCTTCACACGTTCTTCTCCATGTTATCCTACACCATCGCTTCTCATTCAGGTTCCCCTCCATGGTGTAATATTACTTGAAGGTCTCCTCAGTGTATATCCAACGCGTTACTGATAGGTCGAAAAAAGCAGATCAAACAAATAGATCAGAGTCAATTAGATTATCGGAACATATTAATTTATTTATACCTAGAATGATAGCCACTTACAAATTCAATAATCTAGATGAAACTTCTCACCACTGCGACGCATGCACTTACATAAAATTTTACAATAGGCTGATAGGTTATTTTTTATTTTATTCTTATTCTTTTCGAGCGGGACATAGGGATTTAAGCCGGAGCGAGGTGGGATTGCTGGCCTCACGTTCAGCCTCCCCTGTTTACCGGACTTATTACCGGATAAGTGAGGCTTAGATTTGAGTCAGTCGAGAAATGAACCCCGGACTACGTGCATGGTTGGTGAGCGTACTACTGTTGAACAAATGACTGATTTAGGATGACAGGAAATAATTTACAGATAAACTTTATGCTCTAAAAATGTGTAATTACTTTTTCATGCAATTTTACAAGCTACAAAACTGTCAAACACTGATGTATACCTTATACAAAGTGGAGAATCTTCGGAAACAGACGAAATGATAGCATCGCTGAGAAAATCAAGACGTGAATCACCAAGACAAATTAACTGGAACTCAAAAGGCATTCATTTCTGTCAGTCAACAGGGAATATTTCAGCAGGTACTCGAGCCGCAAGTATCGAATGTGCAGGAGAAATGCATGGTAGATGGTTAGCTTTAAGAAGATTAGAGGGAGAATTAAATATTTGTCTTATCAATGTTTATGTTAAAAAAGGTGAGTTAGTTCACGAAATGGCCATCAAGTTATTGCTTGTTTCGTCAGTGCTTTTCGTTAATTGCTTATTTTCATTATGCATTTTCGCTTTATATATTCCTCAATAAAACAGCTTTGTGTGGATTTATTACAGAGGGATGTAGGAAGACAAGCATACACTTTGGCACTGATGTAGATATGTCCACTAGATCATAGATAGTGCGGGCGAAAACGAATCCATACTCTTCCGTTTTACAGTTTGTGATGGAATTAAAGCAGTTGGTTGACCAGTCGTCAACAAAGCTTCAAACTGACCATTTGGAGGATCCTAGTACAATTGCATCTAGACATAGACTGAATTACATGTCATGCCAAATTACTGCATTCAAAACAATGGCTTTTGAGCAGCGATAACATATTCTACGTTGAAAACAAGTCACTACCTACCAAATGACAACTGCTGCGTAATTTATTAGTGCTAAATATTTAAGCCAAACAAGAGAAGAAAGCAATTCAGTTAAGCAAAAGTTTCTCATAATGATACCTCCTATTTTCTTCTCCAGTAAATGTAGTTAGATAATAAACATTATCAAAATTGCTGTGATGTACCGATTCTATCTATGAATAAGAACATTTGGGTTACTCTAAAGTAGAATTCTTACTGATAGCCTTTGCTAGTAACGTCACCATTGATCTGAACAGTAATTTTGGTCAGTTTGTAACTGTTACTGAAGACCGAAGTAAGAACAGCATTCATGGTGAAAAATATTTTAGTTTTATTCTAGTGTTAGCAAGCCAGTGTGTACTAACAGTTGTGTACCTACAGTTTTAAACTCAAAGGTTTTTATTCGTATTGCATGCATAGATTCTAAGATCAAGAATCATGCTTCGTGTTGTCTTGGGGCAACCGAAAAAAAAGTGCAGTCATCTTTCTCTGTTGTTTTGCAGATTAGTCTTCTCCCATCTAAATTAAAAATCAAATATACTACCAGTACTGATCAGTTTACTTCCTAATAAAATTGCCATATTCATTTTAGGCATTATCGCTGACCTCCTGAAAGAGGTTAGTGGTGGTTCGGCAACCCTAACTGAAGTACTGGGTGCAGTGGGTTCGAACTTCTCAAGTAGCATTACTTCCATCATAGTCGTAGATATGATTTACTGACAATGTCCATGGAGTGTAATATTAGGTGTAAACATTGCGTTGTCGTTATACTGGCAGCACGTTTGCTAAAATCTTATTCGTTTGGAAAGGCAATCTAACCTTTGAAATTTACTTGAGTGTGTAGTCCAATACAGCACTTTCAAATGGCATACACTGTCTTCTTGAATAAGATATATCAGGACCAATGCTATTTACTATTGCATATTGTCAGATCACCCTAAGGTTGAAAATGCTCGGAATAGCATGTGACTTTGTCAAATGTATCCTACACTGACTAGAATTTCCCTCTAATAAGTAGTCACAAGTAAAAGATTCAGTGGCATGTCATTAATAGAACTGAACTGTCATTTGTTTACATGTACGTAAACAAACTAAAAGCATACAAGTTTATTACTATTTTTCCTTTACCCCATTTAATGTTCCAGCTTTTGAGGAGTGTTTTATTGGTTATTCAAAGAAGGAACAACTCATATGGCCAAGCTTATCAGGTCAACCATTCAGTTTCATCCGTCATCTATCTAAGTCAGCTTGCAGGGCTGGTTGTTCAGCTAACAGAAACTGTCAAGCTATTCGGTATAAGAAAATGAGACGCACTGGAGTTTGTGAACAAATAAGAGACGTCATTCTTTCAGAAGATCTGGTTAACAATACAATGAATGGAAGCAGCCAGTTCGCGCAGGATTCCTTGATAAATTGTGAATCAGAGGACTGTACAATTGCATTAAACAAATGTCATCTAGGTAAGTTCACTAATAGTGGAAAGTAAATCCGAAATATCTCCGGAAAGTCAAAATGACCAGTATTCCTTCGATTAAATATTTTTTTAGCTAGAAATAACCAATAATATATCTTCTTTTAAAATGTAATTTTAGGCTTTTTACCCAAATGTATTTGTCATAGTACAATTAACACATTTTTTTCCAATATACTGATCCTTTAGAAATACCCTTAAGTTATTTTAAACCGAATCATGCTGTGTGCCTAAATTTTGATGATGGAAAAATGTCAAAAGAAAGTTTAAAACGCGATTTTTCTTAGTATTCACAGAAAGCTTTTAACTTCCATCAAAAAACTTAAATTTCACCACATTATTTTCATTGGAATTCGTTGAAGTTGCTCAGATTTATGTTTAAGCCTGTGAATGCTTCCCTGTTCATTACGTAAAACAATTCCGTCCATCACGTTCAAAGCAAAGTTTCTGACTGCTAACCTTGAGGTTTTGATTTGTGAAAAAAATTTGCATACTGACGTACAAACGAACGCTACCTAACTTATAAGAGCATCAACAGACACATTAAATTTTCCAACTTAATAGAGAATAAGTCAAATTCAAACAAACACATTGAAACCTTGACTACTGACACAAATTAATAACCAATCGCAAACAAGGTCGCCAAGAGAGACAAGAATAATGGTCATGGAGAATTCAGAAAAGTTCACTTCATACTGAAGTCTGCGTCTGAAAATGTTGTGTAGAAAGATAATGAAAGTTTTGTAATTAAACCACCTTGCTCAGAGGACACAGCCACATCAAAAATAGCTATAATATACAACCCTAGCTTGATACTAGTTTCATAAACCTGATATCAATCTTGTTTTGCATTTTATTCATTGCATAAAACAAATCACTGCAAACAGTTAGTGTCACGTCTGAAATTAAATTCAACATTTACCTATCTTATTCTATATCTTTTTGGTTTTTTCACAAATTTGCTTGAAATAAATTACAACCATACTAACGGTGCATTCAACTCAAGCACTGCTTCAGTGGTACTGTTGTATGTTCATGAATGTAAAACTGCATGAAGGATACCTTTGAAAAAAGACATTTGTACTGCATGCAGTCAAATTTCCACCCATAAATATATATATATAACACGAAATTTTAAAAATGTCTGATATTTGAAACAATAGTCAAGGTATCAAAAGAGTTACTTTTTACTGTTTCAGACACTAATTGTTTAGTGATTGTTTTCTCGTAAATCTTTCCACTATTTCTAAGAGGCAACAGCTGTCCATCTCCCTGCATTGATATTTATTGCATCACTGCAACACATGGAATTGGGTACACAGTTAGATATCACACATAAATGTATCATAAGGCGTACTGCAAGGACCCGTAATTGACTAGTGAGCTGCATTATTATCTTCACTTGTTACTGCCAAGTGATTACAGTCCACAGTTCTAGTCATGTAATATTATACCTACAACAATTAATGATTGCCTTGGTATGCATAGTGTGGTGCTGAAAAAATGAACTGCGATTCGTTATAACTAGGGTAAATAAAATCCGCACCTACTAAATGACCCAGAAGCAACATCTATTATACAAAAAAATCTTTTAAAAGAAGACTGAAATACGCCATGGTGTGCAGATGTCGTAGAATGTGAACCACAAGAACAGTGCAGAACTAGTGTTAGTGTTATAAAGTAAAAATTCTAAAGTTCTTAACTACCTTAAAAAGTTAACTGTGAACAATGCTGAAGTTTTTTAGACGATCAACAATTCTTGTCGATTAACATTGGCTTGTGATAAAAACTGCATTATACTCAGTGTCATAGTAAAAATATTGTAAAATTGTTTATAATTAACTATCTTGACACTAACTATCATATTTTGATTGGACACTAGTAACTAGTGTGATGCGTCTAGTCCTTTCTTTGGTGCAGATTGAATTCTATCAGTCAGGTATTTGCAATGTGGCCATCATTCTAGGTAGCTCGCCATCACGGTGCACATTGATTTGATGATATTAGATAGTTGGAGGCGATCGGCAGGAAGTCTTGGACCTAGGTTTCGTGCTAGTTGGCACTCATCAGCAAGGCGTATCTGCAATCTTGAAGGAACTCATGTCCCTTCTGAGATTCGAACCCACATCACCCAGTCCTGCAGTCAGAGACGTTACCACTGAGCTATTCGGGCTCACGTTTGACCTCTTGTAATATCTAATATCATCAAATCAATGTACACCGTGATGACGAGCTACCTAGAATGGTGGCCACATTGCAAATACCTGACTAATAGAATTCAGTCTGCACCAAAGAAAGGACTAGACGCATCACACTAGTTACTAGTGTCCAGTCGAAATACCCACTACAGTCCTACAGGAGGTCAATCGCGAGCCCGAATAGCTCAGTGGTAACGTCTCTGACTGCAGGACCGGGTGACGTGGGTTCGAATCTCAGAAGGGACATGAGTTCCTTCAAGATTGCAGATACGCCTTGCTGATGAGTACCAACTAGCGCGAAACCTAGGTCCAAGGCTTCCTGCCGATTGCCTCCAACTATCTTATATCACTAATTATCATATCATTTAACAGTTAACTTCAAAAAATTACTAGTAAACAATGCTGTGTGCCAGGCTAACAAAAATTCATTTGGTTGCCATAGTAGCTTACATCATAAATGAATGCTACCTAAACAGTTAACTTGAAAAAAATATCACGAAATCGCCGGATTAAGTAAAAGTAGTCGATGGTACCTGACTTCAGAAAATGGAGGAACTGAAGGTCACGTAATCAGTTTTCATTGGCATCATGAATTCTCACTGCTGAAAATCCCCAAAATGAAACAATACTCCTGTCCACTACTTCCTCATTATCAGTAATTTGATATTTGGTTTTGATGTGTGAGTTGAATTCTTGTTGATCAGTTCCTTACATGTGCCCTATTTCTTATGTTGCACTGAAGTATATGCTCATAGATAGTTGGAAACCAACTCCTTGCTTTTCTTGAAATAATCTAGTTATATTGTACTTTTTTTACTAATTTATTTTCATTATGCTGTAGATTAAGATCGCCTTTCATAATACTGCAATAAATTCATCGACATTTCACTTATTTTTTCTCTATGCTACAGGTAAACTACATGAATTACATCGAGTGGTAACTCCACAGAGGAATGAATCTACAGAATCCGTTTTCCATGAGGACAGTGATTATAATGGTTATCAAAGTGAAAATAAATTTTCACTATGGGAAATGAAATCTGACCACCAGACAGCTCATTCAAATTCTATGGAACCTGGATTCTTATTGTCTGTTCAAATGGATGGTTACTTGTATTGTAGTGAAGCAATTTGTGGTATGTAATTATTTATTTTACATTCCACTCATCACATTATAACAGTCTTTTGTAAAGAATATCAGTTTTTCGCCTTAGTTAAAATAACTTAAGCCACAATGAGAAAATCTTCTACACTGTAGTTCATATTTACTTTATATATATATATATATATATATATATATATATATATATATATAAAGTAGGTGTCACTAGATGATATTACCTGAACATAGTCAACACATTATCCCCACTGGAATAATATTTTATTTTTAATGCATTGTACGTCCGAAATTCAAGACTCATGCAGTTTTAATATTGCAATGAAACAGTCAGTTTATGGAAGTGATTGGTGAACAGACTAACACAAATTCATAAATATTCCGAAATGGTAAAGTTAGTGCTTCAAACAATAAAAAGAAGAAATTAGAAGCCTTATCCATATTTTAAAGCATGTTGCTAGATTACTTATTTACATAAAGACGCATATGTTCGAATCCCGACTTATTAATGATAGCATGTATATAAATAACTCTTTAAAAGTGATGAGTATATTCAAACTAAATACACAAGTAGATCACTTAAGTTAAATCCATTCACGCTTTAGTGAGTTTCAAGTGGAACAAAGTCTTGACCAGAAAAGACAATTTTAAGGACCGACCTACCAGATGCAAGTGTCAAAAACCGTGGTTAGATTCAGCCTTATATTTTCATGTTTACAAAATGTATTATAAAACAATGCCTATCAATGAATCCGAGAAGATAAGTGTACTAGGACAGGAAATTCATTTGCTACTCGATTGTCTACATGTCTGTATTAAGATTATTATTATTATTGTTCCCTTGGGTTCCTAGTGGAACATAGGGCTTCAACTGCACGTCTCTACTTGCTTCTGTCTTCTGCTGTACTTTCCACCTGCATCCATGTTAGTCCATACTGTTTCAGCTCCTCTTCACATGATCTCCTCCATGTCACCCTTGGACGTCCCACTCGCCGCTTCACCTTCGGGTTCCACTCGAGCTATGGCCTGACGCCCGATGTCACCCAGCGGCCTCCTCAACGAGTGTCCAATCCATCTCCACTTTCTCCTGCATATTTGTTGAGCAACTGATTCTTGCTTTGTTTGTTCCCATAGTTTCTTGTTGGTGATTCTTTTCGGCTATCTGATCTTGAGTATAGAACGAAGACAGTTGTTGATAAAGGTCTGCAACATGTTGGAAATATTCTTTGTGACCCGCCAAGTTTCTGATCCGTACAGAAGAACTGACTGACTTGACGTTTGTATTGAAAGTCCGAATTTTGTTATTGATGCAGGCTGAGTGACGAAGATTTCCAGATTGGTTTCAGGTTGATGAATGTGTTTCTCGCCTTCCCGATTCTCGATTTGACATCCTCGTCCGTTCCTCCTGTAGTTGAGACAATGCTCTCTAGATAAGTAACCTCTTTCAAATCCCTCCCGTTGATGGTGATTGGCGCTGGATGTTGCTGATGCTGTTGTTGGTTGGTTATTTTCATAACCTCCGTCTTGTCTATGTTTACCTGGAGTCGTGTCTTCACCAGCTGCTTCTTCGACCAGTTTGTCGGTTTTCGCTTGTAAGTCTTCGATTTTGTGTGACATCAAACATAAATCATCTGCGAAATCCAGGTCTTCTAGGTTCTTCACGTCGGTCCAGGATATCCCTGTCTTCTCGTTTCCTACTGTCTGACGCATAATCTAGTATTAAGAGGTAACTGATAACACCTCAGTTGCCTTAAACAGATTAACTAAATCAATCAGACTCGGTCAGTGGGACACAGTTCATAAAAACGTTTTGAAATTTGTATTATTACGTAACTTATTTCTCGTGTGACTTTCATAATCCAATGTCACTTTCAATATTACTTCTATCTGAACGCTAAAACCTGTTAAACTAAAGCAGAAATTTGATAAATTTTTTTCAAAGTAAGTGATACACAGTTATGTACACAGCCTGTGGATATACACGCACATATGTGCACAAAAAACAGATGGTGTTGTTGATGAGAAAAAACACAGTCTCTTCCGTTTAAACACAGCCTTCAATGAAAGCGGAATCTCTTTCTTTTTTCGTTATACAAAGTGAAAATTTTCCGTACTTCAGTGAAATAAATATTTCTTTTGTCTGATCACAAACTGATAAAACTTGAAAGCCGGTTCAGTTTTATTTGCCGTTATTCGTCCAATTCCTCTGTCTAATAAGTGTTACTTCATTTTTCTGCACTGTGATTAGAACTAGTAAAACTTTTATCCTACTCACAACTTCTTAGTGGTCCACATATGTGAAATATTATATTTGCAAAATCTCAATGAAACTAAAATGAGTAGTCCCAACGTTAATTTAGGCAAACTAGTCCGAACTTCTTCAGGGAAATTAATTGAAATCAAAGTAACAGAGGTTTATATATAAAAAGGATATCTTCTGTTGTTAAAATCCTTTGTTCAATCAAATGAGTCATGAAAAAGACATCAAAATATAATAAACAAAATTGCATGAACCGTGATCAAAATTTGACCTCAGGCTTACAAATATTAGTCTACTTTTGTTAATTTCGATTAATTTCCCTGAAGAATTTCAAACCGGTTTGCCGTACGGAGCTACTTATTTCAATTTCGCTGAGATTTTACAGATATAATTTTTCACATTTGTCTAGTTCTCACGCGGTGCCCAATTATTTTGGAACTATCTGGTGAAATCTTGATCACAGTTCATATGAATTCTCAGTAGTCCCTCTTAATTATCTTCAAATAGTCCCTTATCACACTGTTTCCTAATCATTTCATGCTGGTAAATTGAATGCCTTAAAGTCTTTACCACCCTGTCTGAACCTCAACCACTCCACAATTTTCTGATCATGAATCCCTGTCAAGCGGAAACGACTACTAAAAAAATGGAATATCGTAAGTCATACTTTCCTAGATGTCCGTTCCTCAATGGTTTGCACCTACATTAGCACCAGGGGTAGATACGCAGACAGGTTTCACAACCTGAGGTATAAACATAACTGACAAAATCATGTAGATATGTATTTGATCACTAACTCAAGTGATGGTGCAGAAGAATTGTTTTTGCCATCTCTACTTCACAAAGTGGGGATGTGGCTCATTAGCCCAGGTATTCAGCTTTCAACTAGTGGGTTCAGAGATCGAATCTCGCCCCACCTACATGGGAATAGGATGGGATCACCAGCCATCACACGTGAGGTTTGGCTCCTGACCTGGTACCCAGAAACTGGGTGCTAACTAAGTGATTTATTTGACAAAATGAATCTAGAAATACATTATGTAACACTTAGGCACGCAATTGTTTCCCATTTCATCAGTACTTTCGGATTAGTTTAAACGCCAAATCAAAGTCAAGCAGTGTAAAATGCAGTTGGTAATTATATTTATTGAATTAGGTCATTCAAAAAAACTTGATCATCTCAGACATTATTCATTATACAGAATATTGTAAAATAGTGGCCGAAAAACATCTGGCAATGAAATTCCCTATCGAAGACTTATAGACGAATATAGCCCAAATGCAAGACAGTTAGTTCACTTTTTTCATTGAAAGTAGCAGATCTATTCTAAAGAACTTGTTACGAATCCCACTGTGAATGCAACAGGGTTTGCAGTCAGCGTAAAATCTACTATTTCAAACACTCACCATCTTGTTTAAAGGGGAACAATTTTTGCAGATTAATCAGCTATGATCAAAATGTGGCAACCGAAATTTAAAAGTAAGGTTGTAAAAACTGAATCCCACTACTACCATTCAGGTAAGAAAAATAAAATAACACTAAATCCTGTGAAAAGATGCAAAACACAGCTCAAAGTTTTAGATATTCATCTGAAGAATTCTATTGAAACTTTGCGATCCTACTTTACATACCGCTTGATTTTACAGAAAAAATATTAAGCGGTAAAGCACTGAAAGGTCCATTATATAGTTAGTGAGTGTACAAAATATATGTTTATGATGACCTTGATCTTTTCTAAGTATTCCTAGGAAGAGATTATCTATTGATCTGTTGTGACACTAATTCTACTAGTTACATATATATTCATCTAATGATTTTGTAAACTTCAGGGTATTTCTGAGAATGTTCAGGAGTTCGAAAGTAAATAGTGAACATTTTTACCGATAACAAAAAAGAAAACTACTACTTTTTTGCATTCCTTGGGCACCTGGACAAATTTCACGCTTGGATAGAGTAAATCATGTTGATTTCTGTTCAAGCAATAATTACTGGCTAATATTACAGATGCAATATATCATTCACAACTAGATCAAGACAACCATACAGCTTTAATAGTCCCGCTGCCCTGTAGCCTTTGATTTTGTAATGTTGCAGATTAATGTTGAATCATCGCTGTTTAACGTACAAAGACACAGTCTAACACGTATTCACTGACTTTTAGGAATATCACAATAAATTCTTTGTGCAATAAAAAGTCACGCATAATAGATGATTTATTTGAAGCACAAGGGTGTAGGTAGTAGCTTTACTTTTTGTAGCCGGTTTTGGTAAGAAACGCGCTATTTTTGGAAAAACGGTTAATCATTTCTGCCCCTACCTTCTAAATGTATGCAGAGATTGAGATTCACTTTATAACTTTAGAAGAGAAACCTTTGATGCAAAGACATGCTTGTCCTTAGGTGACAAAAAGTGTTGCCTATTAAGTTTAATTCACAAAATTTAATTTACTACCATACACCTATAGTCCAAAATAACCTTTAGTTTTCCTAATATTTAATTTATTATTCTTCACCATGATTACTGAACAAGTAACAGCAGATGTCAGGCTTTAATTGAAGTTTATTTGTCAGTGGTCTTCGTATATCTAGTGTTGATTGGTTATTTTTGTCTACGATGCTCAACTATCAGGTTATCGCATTGATTTAAGGAAAGAATATGTTAATGACTGTTTCCAAAATAACCGTTACCATTTACACTTTCCTGGTGTGCTTTTTTCCAAAACAGTAAAAACATTGCGAGAAGTGTATAAAAACTCTCATTCTTCATCTTGTTTTTTTATGAACATTAGATACACTGAAGGTCTATTCGGTGGATGAGAATAACGAAGCTGTACTTTGTGGAGAAATTGACTCTCTTGTTGTATCTCATTTAAGCAAGTATTATTTATTCTGTCAAAATAATTACTCAGTCGATAAGATGAAATCGATTCGTTTAGAATGGAATAACAGGGGGAGAGAGAATACCGGTTACTTACACGTGAATGTTACCCAAATGTTTGTAAGAATAACACAGAATTCAAAATTATTCGACTTTAACATGAATCCTGATTTTATTCCTGTAACAACTCACGCAACTACAACCACAACAACTGAGACAAACTTCGTCAGGGAGCCAGAATGGATCCAGCATCAGGTAAAGGAGAAAAATGAACAGGAAATCGAACAACCCAAGGTTCAAGAACCCAATGATCGATCGGATGGAGAAGAAAAGAAAGAAGAAGGAACGAAAAAGCGATCAGGACATATTCAGCAAGAAGCAGAACTGCTTCAGCAATATTATCAGCATGAAAATGAAGAAAGACTACATAAAAACCATGACAGATATTCTAGTGAACAAAAACACCAACAAAACGAATCAGAAGAAATCAATACTATTGGTGATAATACAGAAGAAACCTCTGACCCGATGAATTGGTTGAATTCGAATACAGACTATGGGGAAGATGAGGAAGATGAAGTTGACACATCAAATTTTGAAGTTGAAGATGACAAAAGAGATAACCAGGTGATAGGTAAGATGAATTTTTGATTTCAAAAATATTTAACACATCTTAAGCTTCCTTTTAAAAGCAATCAGCGGTACTAACCGAATTCATGATGATCGATAAGGTCACTTGTTTGAATGATTTAGTAAGTGGTTTGTATGCGACTTCATTGTAGCGCTGTTAACTTCGGAGACTGTAGTAGTGATTTTCTCTTGGCGTATAGATTACTTATATGAATACCTCAAGAGAACTTGCATTCGGGTCTTGCTTGTATATTTGGTAGTGGTCAGTAGTGGAATCAGAGAAAGTCCTATTTGGTAATCCTAGGTCTCAATCATAGGGACTCTCAATTTTCAGCAAAACAAAATTAGACCAAACTAATTGGTCCCAAGTACGAAGAAATGAACATCCTTGGTTTCATACAGATTAGTGCAAAGTATATGACTAAATTGTATTACTGTCGAGATAAAATATTTTTTTAAACATTACTATTCACTCAAAGTCAATCGCAGCAAATGTCTTTTCCACAAACACCTATAGTTAAAAAAGATTTCCAGGAAGTTATTTATTCGGACTGTAATAGTATATTGGCAAACCACTTAATTAGTGGTACTGGTATCCTGTCATAATGTGATGGAAATGTCTATTTTTTGTGAAATCTCTTCAGTTTTCTTAGATGGACATCCGTAGAATGTAATTAATTAGTCGTAAGGTGTGCAGTTTGAAGCGAGATTTCACAACAGTTTCTTTTGAAAATTCAAAATATTCAGATTACATGTTGACTGTTTGACTCTTTAAATACAATTAAGAGTACTAATGACTACTATGAACGATAATCGCCTATTAACACCGATCAGTATCACGCATGGGATTACATTTCTAGCTATACCGTTTATGAGCAACGGTTTATTAAAAATCGAAATCAGTCAACTGGAAAAGTCTTCTAAATTGTAATATTAATAGATTTCAAAAAATTGCTAACAGCTTATACAGACTTATTTGGAAAAACTCCTTATTAAGTCAGATATCAGTTTGCCTAAAATGCATAATTCATTTTAGTGATGAGTGTCATTATTATTTCACGTATTTGTAATACAATCTTGTGGCAGAAGTACAAGGAACAGTCGATATCTTATTGCGCAATATTTGCAGCCTATGATAAACAATCGGCCGAACTATAAAGCATAAGATTATGAATAAAACAGATGTTTAATTGAAACAACATAACACTGTAACAGACTGTATTCTGAATAATATCTCGTCGCTTAGATCAATACTTTTATCAAATACCACCAGGTGTTTTTTATCAGTTTATTCCTTCCTACTTTCGTTACTATAGTAATATCGGGAAGTCCGAGAAACTAAATGGCACTCCTTCCATATTCAGCAAACTTAGATGTTCAATCAACAGGATTATTTACTAATATGAGGGTAGATTTATCAAATGGAAGTGCCCTCCAGTTTAACTACACTGGTTACTTCATTGACTGAGATAGTAGGATTTTATCAGGTATAGTGTGAATGATTAAAGTGTAAATGTCTTCTAAATATCCTCACAATAACCTCCCAAGTGGGTAACTGCACCCTCTCATTCTAATCGTTTGAGCAGCAAGTGATCAGTTAATGTTGAGATTGTATGAGATATCCCCGATCCACCAGCTCGGTAAGGAAGTGAAGTTGATACTTAGTCAACAGCAGTTTAATCTGATGATTTAGTCAGTGAAAATAATGATTTGTAATCTGGAGACCATCAAACTTAACTGCACTTCTATCTATGACTTCACTGTAACTTCAAACGTCACTCCATCATACTTAATGAGTTATGAGGTGTAAAAGGTTTTGTTTCCTAGCAAATAAGTTTCTCTTTGAACAATGCATTTATTGACGGACAAATATATATATATATATATATATATATATGAGTTATAAACCTCAACAAAAAGCAGATATCACACTTTAAATGAATTCACTAATTAGAGATTCCTGCGGAAAAAACAAAATGGCATTCAATTCACAAATATCAGGAACACATTCTTTCAGTGATCATGAGCATTTTTATACAGAAGCCATTTTATCAAGTCCAGGTTTCCTTAGCCGAAATCTCTACTGGGCAAGTTCCTGAGTTGTAACTGGTACTTCTATTCTGTATGCTATTGACGATTTCTGAACCATACCTTTCGCTTCCTTTAGTGTGAAACTGCCACCACCACTTAGTATTCAGTCACATATACGGTAAAAAAGATTTCAATAATTAACAGTCCATCATATTAAGAGAATTATCGAAATACAAGATTCACGAGTCATCGTGATGGCCGCGTCAATTTCGGCTTCAGCTACTTAGTCAGTGACGTCCAGTTGGTTGTGCCTTATTTTTATTGATATGTGATCATGCATATTTCGTATTAACTATTTTTTTTAAGTACAGCCTTTTTATCTTATCTCAGAATTCACTTGCATCACAACACCAATAATTTATTGACGATTATTCATTTAAAAACAGGCAGAAGTTTAAATCTAATCTAAAAATATAAACTAATATCAACCACACTGTTTTACATTTTATCTACTACACATGCAAAAGAAACTGAAACGACCAAACAAGTCAACTCAATTACTGAAGGCCAAACTGAATTCACTGAACAAATACAAGATAATACGAAGTCTAAATATATAATAACAACTGAATCTAATAAAACAATCCAACATAATGATAAAGCTGATCACCAGATTACAAATTCGTGGGAACTAAAGTCAAGTTCGCATAATCTTCCTAAACAAGACGGTGAAAACTACGAGAAGAAAAATATGCTCTCAGCAAAATTAGGTGTACGGGAAGCAAGAAGAGAACAAGATGATGATAGAGATAATTATCATAAAACCAAAGTTTCCGGGAAAAATCACCGTAACTTAGAAAGAAAATCACTCCTAACACCAGCAGTCTATGATGAGAAGAAAATGAAGAATAGCAGTCCACTTCCACATAATCCTACACTATTTTTAATTTTCTTAACTCACCTAAATTATATTCTCATATACAGTGCATTTGAATACAGCTCATAAAACTTTTATCACCTGCAAAATAAAGTTTCATAATACGAGATATACAGTAGAAAAATACGTGATGCTATAACATTTTGCAATCAGCCTCAGTAAATATTTCATGCCACTAATCAGCATGGGAAATCTGAATTATCCCGATAAACATTTGTTTTTTTTTAAAAAAAAAAGGAACGTAAGCCTCATTTTATTGCGTTAACTCAGCTTGAATTGGTTGTAAAGGTTTAAATGTCAATGTTGATTTGCATCACTTTTATTCTGTGACATATTTATTAACTTTTGCAATAGTAACGAAAACCCTAATTCTTAGTAATCGTCTTACATTTTTTTATATGTTAATGTGGGGAATTTAAGCTGTCATGACAATGTTTAGTTATCTTTTTGAATATTTATTTTTTCCATCTTGAAATTTACATCAACACTGAATTAACTGATGTGTATTTATTTCTTCCTTTTGCATATTTGTCAAACCGCTTAAACAAATTTACGTCTCAATATACTTTTCACCATTTTTTTGGAAAGTGAAAATAATTCAAACAGAGTATATTCGAATCCGTCTTCATTCTAACTACTTATTAGTGTCTTTTTAAATTTAAAGAACTTCAAGTATTATGTGGTCATTATATTTAACTGTTGGACACCTTTAAGGAAATAAATCGAAGTTGTAACGTAACAATCAGGGATAAAATGAGCCGTACGACAAAAACAGAACTAACAGATTGTTATTTTGGATAACCGTTAACAGACTTCGTTTCCCACCAGTACTTTCTCTCAAAACCCAACATGTTATCTTATGACCATTACTATAAGTTCTGTAGTGGCCCACGATTTCTTTTAATCTCAGCAAACAAACATGAAAAGCTAAGACTGTCAGATAGAGAATACTTTTAAACGCAGTATAAGTTTGTTTGCTCTAAACAGCTTTAGAAGAAGCACTGTCTGGAAGTCACCTATATTCCTAATTCGCTAGCAGAAGAGTGGGTGCAATGCATATCGCCGCTAATTGCAGTGTCACTGTCCGTTGTTATGGCGGTTTAATGACAGATTATACTTTTATGTGCTTTTTAAATGATACTCCACATCAAAACATTTTTTCTGGTGTAAATAGTGTCGGTGGCATTATATTTCTCAAACTGCGTTACATCTGCTGCATTTTCATCAGAAAATGTTTCCTGATACTGAAATCTGCGCATTGTAAAAGATAAGAGGAAAAGGTAAGTTTATGGTGTACTAAATATGATTCCAATTTTAATACCATGTTACATCCACATTTTGACGTTCTTCAATGTGCCAAAACTGTACAAGATCAAATACTAACAACGTTGTATTAAGAAACACAAGTGAAATCAAATTTCGAAATGCGCGGGGCGTATAAAGAATTCATAGCTGCAAATGTACACCAGTGTTCAATGATACAATGGCAAACATGAGACGAGCACATGTAAACTTGGTTTCTTCAAACTTATACTATGCATAAATGAATTAGTTTTATAAGCGTACAGCTGGATTTAATATAGGGGAGCTACAAGTTCAAACGTTTGACGTATATTATTGAGTCTTTATGAAATCGTGCTGGTATCTTTTGGCCTATTTCCTGAAATACTCTGATACCCACCGCGTAAGGGTAACACCACTTCAGAAGATGGATATTTCATATAATCGCCCGTTAATATCAGATATAGTTAGGGAGATTGTTTTGTGTAATACAAGTCACAGCCATTTTAATCGATGCAGCTTCACAACCCCATGGATTGACTTCTCTCCAGGAACAGATGATTTCCCTAACTGAACTGCGGGTAACTAATTTTCGGCTCTTCAGCATGGAACTCAAAATGGTCTACCAAATGACCGAGCTTCCCTATTTAAGCAACGGAATTGCACATCAAAGAGACGATATCTGAACAATTTGACCTTGGAATACACTGGATGGGTCCTCATGAAATTCACTAGTTAATTCACCAGTCAGCTCTCAAGCGTAGGTTATTTTTATATTTTGGTAAGTTTGGTCGAGTCGATAAGAATATCCGTACTATTAAAAATTGAGATGATCATGTGTCTCAGCGTCAAAAACGCCTACTTCATTACCCAGCTGGTAAGTTGATCAAAAAACAACAAAAAGAGCCGAGTCATAAAACTATATTTTCACACGTAAACAAAAAATTCAAGGAAGAAAGAATGTTACATACATGACCCAGCAATGTCGGCGATAAAGTATTTATCCGTTAGTAATGTTATCTGGGAGGCAATTCTGACTGGCCTCTTTAAACGACAACACACTGCTCTACGTGTCAACTGAGAAAGTCCATTGACGGATCACAGGGTTGCGCTCTGCCAGAGAGCATGTGCACGGATACCTACTGCAATTCACTAAAAATGGGTGACTGTAATAATGGCGTTACAGAAAATTTGCACTGCTTCGCGATTTACGAGTTATGCTGCCCGTTGGTCTCGGCCCGAGGTAACTTTCATGACTCCAATCTGGCGATTTATTCATATGATGCTACGCCCTCTCCATATTCTCGGCTGACTGCTTAGCCTGGATCACCTTGACCCAACCACCAGACTGCTCATGTCGCCTCCTAGCTGGTGTCGGGAGTGTATAATAATTCCCTAGGGAGAAAAGACAGTTAGAAACTGTACAAGTTTATTACTACCATTCCGTGTTCCCCACAAGTAAAAAACTCAGCGGTACCATTCCTCCGAACCGCAACAGTAGTGATGAACAAATTGGTTATTGAAAGTCGGATGTTGTAAGTCCCATTGGATCTACGAGTTTCTTTGATCCTCATCAAATCATCTACATTTTCGAAAGCACACAGCACGATTATACTACGTGTATACTACTACGTGGTCATGTGGATGGTTGGCGTAAACAGCTTTTCTGGGGCAACTGACACAGTATTTATCTTTGTTGGCAAACGTAAGCGAACTCCTAGGATACTGTAAGAAGTCATAGGTCCTGAGTTACGTTTAAAATCAAGGTCCCACAACAAAGGGACACGTAATATGTAGGTGTATCGAAATGGTACCAAGTGCCAAGATATGTTTTACTGAGTTTCGTCGGTATCACATAAACCAATGTTGCTTATCCCGAGTGAATGTCAAGTGATATGACATATTCAATCTGGTTTCCCTTCATCAGAAGCTACAATTCCTACTGTGGTCTGGTTGAGTGCTGTTCAGCGGAAGGCTGGAGCAGTACGAACAAGAGCAATATTGTGAATTTTGCTGGTATTTACTTATAGACTGTGAAGCTGAACATTCGGTACCGCAACTTTTTGAGGCTGTAACTTTCGGTACTGTAAAAATTTGTGCTACAACTGTCTTTTCCTGCTAGGTTATTGTGGGTGGATCAGTAAACAACCTCCAAATCGCCAACTTGACTTTTGATATTTTCTAGATGTTCGCAATCTTGAGTTGCATCAATTGATCTTCTGGCAACAACACCAGCTTCAAGATACGCAGGTTGACAGCATTTGAGGCTGGTGCATTACAGTTTCCGTTCCGGCTCCTTTAAAACTGCTGACAGCTCCTGTGGATCGATAATTTTTGATCTGCTGTCTCGGATCTTACTGTGCAGTGTTTTCCATTCTCCGTTGGAAATATCCAACAATTTCGGCTTTGATTTCTTTTTGATCTACTTAGTTAGCAGAAACTGTTGTCAATTCCTCCTGGACTGAGTGTTGGCCTCATAACCTACTTATTTGCGTAAGTACTATCTTCAGCATATATTTTCGTGGTTTTCGGTAGCGTTTGGCGGTGCATGAGCCAAAGAAGGGACGAGGCAGTATGGAGACAAACTGTAAAGTAGGTAGTGATGATGAGTTGATAAATGTTTGAGTTGAGATGTCTAAGATGACGGTCATGTCTTTTTAACGTGGGACAGTCTATTTCTCAGTTGTAGCCAAGCTGCTTTGACGGAAATCCTGTGGTTTATCTGCACTTTGTGGAGATCGAAGATTTGTTGAGTGATGTTAGACTTAGTGATGAAATAAGGTTGATATAGTTATTAATGCATTATACATGTCCCGATGTTGTCGTGATACAACGTTGTAAATTCCTGCCCCGCTGAAGCCAATGGCATTCCACACCAAGGATTTTGGAAGCCGTCCATGATTTCCTGGTGTGTCTGACATTTTTAAAGGTAATGGACGACAATTAAGCTGTGATCTCAGAGAACTCACCTCAATTTTAGACAGCTTCTTGACGTATAAAAATACCTAGACTTCCCTTGGCTGAGAGTCTTTGGATCTGGTACATTTACAATACATATGTTACCCCTCACAAAATAGCTTACTCATTTCACCAGCCACCCATGTTGAGAATCACAACTTCAAATATCTCCCTTGGGGATTACAGAGCGAGATTTACTCCCAAAAGTTGTAATTTTGTGAACATGCTTGAGTCGCTGAGTAAGGCCCTAGTTATATCTGGTATCAGTACAGTTTTTCCTTACGAAAAGTAAGTAGATAACATTACGTCGTATGGACAACTGTTATTTATGAGTTGTGTGAAACTGTTCTATTAGTCACAACATGAATGTGCGTCGAAAATAAGTTGTCCTTAGTCTCAAAAGAGCAGCAAGGACACCCTTTCTGCTATAGTGAAATTCAAATCGTTCACAAGTCACTAATATTGTGGTTATACTATGCTTTGACAGTGTGTCTGAAAGTTATCTCCCTACATAAGTTTTTTATTTTCTTATTCCTTCACATTCTAAGTGGGACATAGGGCTTCAAGCCAGAGGTTTGAAGCTTCGGTAGCAGTTGTGCTCATTTTTATGGGATGGGGTTGCTATCCCCATGCCCAACCTTCCCTCTTCGCTAGTTTTATTACCGGCTCAGCAGTGTAAAGGAATGCGTCGGCGTGGTTGGTGACCACTGTGCCACCGACGCACATAGGTAGTGTCCAAAAGTGTTAGCCACTAAAGTCTGTCAGACGATAAAGCTCATTTTTAGGACCTATGTTTGTGTATGAGTTTGGGGTCTTCTAAAATCTCCGGCTTTAAACAGCAGCTTCATTATCCGCTCTCCAGACTACTGAAACTTTGATTGTATCGTTTATTTAGGTCCTTGCTTATATGAGATTCCCGGATGCCGCGCAGTTCTGTAAGGCATCTTGCGAATCTACATTCTGTGCAGTGTTAGACCATACCATCAACTACACAGTCGCATAATTTGTTGAATCATCTGGTGTGCTATAATATACCAATTTATCCCAAATATTTGTTAAGTTGCTATTGAATTCCTTTATCTGAATCGAGAGCTGCTTCAGAGTTGTACATTGAAGGACAAAAATCATATTTAAGCACGATTACAAGACCTTTTTTAGCTGATGTACCTTTGATATCCAGAGCGTCGTGGCTAAAATCCTTAATTGTGGATGTGCACCATCTTCACTCGATGTCCTGAGTATGCCGCTTGTCGTTCCATTTTTCAAACAAATTACCTTTTCCCCGATTAGTACCATTTCACGTCTTTTAATAACAATAGTTCAGTGTTTAAATAATTATTTTGTCGATACGGGCGTGGTCATATCTGTC